GGAGCAGCTACAGAGGAAGGACTCGCGCTTGCTTTTTCCGGCTGTTTTGGAAAACACATTTTCTTTTGGCTCCGCCTCTTTGCGTTGAACTGTCCCAGTGTCACCATCACTGCTGCTGTTGGGTCAGCGTCGGCTCGTTGTTGTCAGACTCTGTGTTGGTTTACTATGTTTCCACTGCACGTCTGTTTGTCGTGGCAAATGTGCACTCACGTTTCCATGGTGACAATGGTGAGAGCCGCGTGCTAAACGAAGCATCGAGTCGAATTTTTCATTTACAGGATTACAGGATGAACGTTTGCAACTATTTTGAGGCAGATTTCTCTCCATAAACGTAAACACGTCTCATCACACGTGAATAATCACGTCCAGTTTGGCAGCTCGGTGACACTGTGTGTGTTTTTGAAAGAACTCAGATGGCAAAGGAGACTCCAAAGGAAAGAAGACGCCCAACAAGCCACTCAAAATCCTGGATGAGGATGACGAGGACCTCAGTGCCCTAAAGGACCCCTCTGAGAAGGTCAGTTCAGACGCCACTGTGAAGATAACTGTAAAAACGTTCCCTTCCTGTCTGCTTGTCTAAAATATCAGAATCAAACCTGCTCGGACTGTTTGAACATTATTATAAAAACACCTGAGTTACATTTTACAGAGTGTGGAGGACTAGTGAGTCAAAGTGAACCACATCCAGCTTCATTGCTCTTCACAAGTCATCTGTTTCCTGTTAACAATGTGTGACAGTTTAAACCAAGTAAAACTAATCCAGTCGAGTCTCCTGCACGTGATAGAGACAGCGCCCCCTGCAGCAGACACTGACCTCTGCAGATTTCTCACTGATTTAAGGTGAATGTGTGTCTTTTTTCCTCCTTAAGGACTTAGCTGACTCTGACCCCGAGCCATCCACTATTGAGAGGCTGGGGGCTGGACCGGGCTCAGGATTCAAATGGGAAAGCAGCGTAGGTGAACGCCCCCTCCCACCAAGCCTTGTCTTGACTTCTACCTGACCTTAATCTTTGGCTTTAATTCACCAGCAACTGCAGACTTTCCCTTCTGACTTGTTTGGTGCTCTGTGACTGCTCAGATTGTTTGCTGTGATCTTGCTCAGCAACCCTGCGTGCAGGGCTCAGTGCCACGTGGAGGTTTGATCAGGGCTGGG